TACTTTCTTTTTATTTTTTTAACCAGTTCTGAGCTGTAAGGTACGCAAGGTTATTCTTGCACATACCTCCACTGGCCTCAGGAACTGAAATAAAACCAGCAACCCTACAGCTGGTGTCCTTTGTGTGTGCCTGAGCCTTTTTCTTTCCTGAGCTAGTGAAGATAATTCAGCATCACTCTCTGGGATAAACTGTTATCAAGGATGCTGAGTAATTTGAGGCAGTGATGAGGCTGGGATGCAGGCGGAGGCCTTTAATGAGATTTGCTCGAGGTACTCTTGGTGTTGGCTCGCTGTACGTTTGTAGTTTCGCAGTGATGGCTCTCCCTGGTTTTCTGCTCTTTCTGTGTGACTTTAAAAAGAAAGAAAAAGATACCTACCCCCTGGTATTTTGCAGCATACGGATGTTTTTTTTTCTCCAGGCAGTCATGCACAGAATGCAGCAAAAAAAACAAAAAAACAACTGGATAAGCTGCAGAGTCTTGCTCTATACAGAAATATTTATTGTGGATGTGGAAAGCTTAGCTGTAAATATTCCATATACACAGTTATTAACTGTATTTATATTTCTGGGCTTTTTACCTCTTGTATATCTAAGTAAACAAACTAGGCCGCCCTTATTAATGGGAAAGTGACAAGTGACCAACCCTGCTGTGGCTAATGAGTTTGCTTTACTAACTGCACCCAGCCTTCATCAAACAGAATTATACATCTAGCTCAGCTTTAAGTTTTGAGGTGCATAAAAAAAGTAAATATTTTGCCATATTTAAGCTTAATGCCAAACAGCTTTTCTTGCAGTTAAACAGAAATTCTTTTTTTTTTTTCTTGCTGCAGATAATTAGTGTCATTCATTAGTTCTTTTTCCTGCTATTCTCTCTCTCAGGTTTCTGAATCAAGGAGGAGGAAGAAGAGTGGATTTCTGAGGCACAGTCTCTGGAGATATTTCTCATGAGGGGTGGATGAAAGATGGATGGAAGTGGCCCCTCTCAGCTGTCACACTCTGACCTCTGAGTAGCTATGTATTCCCTGCACCCAACGAGGAGGAACCCCTCCCCAGATGTGGGGCTGTCTTCTCACCCAGAGTTGGATTAATAGCCAGAGCTCACAAAACAGAATGGCATTAGCTTGTGCAGACTATGACTCATCAGAGTTCATATCAGAGTACAGGTGAGACTGAGTCTCTAGCCGATACCTGCAGGACTCTTAAGGAGAAGTAATCAGCCTTGGATGACCTTCACAGAAGGATAGAGTTATACCCCAGGTTTGATGAATTAGTGTCTATTCCACTGCCTTGTTGACAAGGTCGGCCATGGCTGCTGCTGATCGCCAGAGCAATGGTTCCCTGAAGGGACGAAGAACAGACTGAGAGAGTCAACAATGCAGCGTAACGGTGGCGGCGTGGGCGTCGGAGGCCAGCCGTGGATGTTTCGCCGCGTGCGTCTCACGTGGCTCAGTTTCATGCTCTTCTTCATCCTGGTCTTCTTCCCGCTTATTGCCCACTACTACCTCACTACCATTGATGAAGCTGGGGATCGCGACAAGCACATCTTTGGGCCCCGGCCTGGTGGCGAGCTGTGCGAGGCCAAACATGTGCAGGACTTGTGCCGTATCCGCGAGTCGGTCAGTGAGGAGCTGTTGCAGCTGGAGGCAAAGAGGCAGGAGCTCAATGGGGAGATCGCCCGACTTAACCTGCGCATCGAGGCTTGCAAGCGCAGCATCGACAGTGCCAAGCAAGATCTACTACAGCTGAAAAATGTTATCAGCCAAACGGAGCATTCTTATAAAGAACTGATGGCCCAGAACCAGCCCAAGCTGTCGTTGCCCGTCAGGTTACTTCCCGATAAGGAGGATCCGGGGCTGCCACCACCCAAGTCTCCACGCTCCTGCCGCCTGCGCTCCTGCTTTGACTATGCGCGCTGTCCCCTTACATCTGGGTTCCCTGTATATGTCTATGACACAGACTCCTACCTATGGGGGAGCTATATTGACCCTCTGGTAAAGCAGGCTTTTGTTGCATCAGTTAAGAGCAACATTTATGTAACTAATAACCCCAACATTGCCTGTCTGTATTTGGTTCTGGTAGGAGAGCTGCAGGAGTCCCCTTCCTTCCCACTGCCATCTCCTTCAGAGCTGGAGAAGCAACTGAAAGCTCTTCCTTACTGGAGGTCTGATGGACACAACCATGTACTGGTGCATCTCTCTAGAAAGTCTATGACACAGAACTTCCTGTATAATGTGAGCACAGGGCGAGCAGCAGTTGCTCAGTCCACTTTCCTAGAGCAGCAGTACCGTGAGGGTTTTGACCTAGTTGTGTCCCCGCTAGTTCATGCCCTCTCTGAACCCAACTTTTTAGAAGTCCCACCTCAAGTTCCCGTGAAGAGGAAATACCTTTTCACATTCCAGGGGGAGAGGGTGGAGTCCCTGAGGAGCAGCTTACAGGAGGCACCGCCCCAGTCTTTCGAGGAGGAAATGGAAGGAGATCCACCAGCCGATTATGACGATCGCATAATCGGCACCTTAAAGGCAGTGCAGGACAGCCACTTGGATCAGGTCCTGGTGGAATTCACCTGCAAGAACCCGAGGCCAAGTTTGCCAACAGAGTGGGCTCTTTGTGGAGAGAGAGAAGACAGACTGGAGGTCCTCAAGGTTTCTACCTTTGCCCTGGTGATTGCTGCAGGGGATGGACAACTTGTAGCATCAGCAGGCTTTGGGATGAGGCTGTTTGAGGCTTTAGAAGTGGGGGCTATCCCTGTTGTCCTGGGGGACCACTCCCGACTGCCTTACCACCAGTTTGTTCGCTGGAGTGAAGCTGCCATTTTGGTCCCCAAGCCCCGTGTAACAGAGCTACATTTCCTCTTGAGGAGCCTGTCAGACAATGACATGTTGGCTATGAGGCGACAGGGCCGCTTTCTGTGGGAAACGTACTTCTCAACCTCAGAAAATGTTCTCAACACCATTCTGGCCAGTATCAGAACCAGCATCCAAGTTCCTGCTGCACCCATCAAAGAAGAGCCAGTTCATGAGATTCCTCACAAAGCCGGGAAGTTGGCTGGGACAGATGCCAACCTGGCTGACAATGGTGATCTGGATTTGGGTCCCGTCGAGACGGAGCCTCCTTATGCCTCTCCACGCTTTCTCCGCAACTTCACATATACAGCTGCAGACACTTACAGATCATGGAACCGGGCCCCGGGGCCCTTCCACCTGTTTCCTCACACTCCTCTTGACCCGGTACTGCCCTCTGAAGCCAAATTCCTTGGCTCAGGTACTGGTTTCAGGCCTATTGGAGGAGGTACAGGAGGCTCTGGAAAGGAGTTCCAGGCTGCTCTGGGTGGGAATGTTCCCCGAGAGCAGTTCACTGTAGTCATGCTGACTTATGAGAGGGAGGAGGTCCTGATGAACTCTCTCGAGAGGCTGAATGGACTGCCATACCTTAACAAGGTAGTGGTAGTGTGGAATTCTCCCAAGCCTCCTTCAGATGACCTGCTGTGGCCAGACATCGGCCTGCCCATTGTGGTGAGTGTAGAAAGATTGATCTTTTTTACGTGCAACAATTTATCTAAATACCGTTGTTATAGTAAGTTTTTTTAAGTAAGGAAATCATCTCGTGCTCATCCTTTCTCTCTGAAATGCAAAAAGGTAACCTGCGATGTTTGATGTGTCAGATGAAAAGTTTCTTTGAGTACATCGGGATCAGTCTCTTTGAAAATCTGTTGGAGTCCATACAAATTACCAGCAGCTTTACTAAAAGGATTGAAGAAGCTTGACACCCATGAATAATAAAATCTGTGCCTTTGAACTAAGGATGAAAAATCAAATATTCATGTGGTTCACATCCACACCATTAGGTTGTCACACTGACTTTCTTCACATGTGGTGAGCTGATGGGGAGGTACTAAAGAATTTGGTGGTGCCAGACTGAAACTGAACACAATCTTTGTCAGTGAATTATTTATATTATTCATTTGGTTAAATTCATCAACTAAATTAACCGATTAATGTGAGTCTTGATAGCAAAAAACAAGTTACATCCTTGTAACAAGCATTTTTTCCTTACAAATCGTAGATGACGATTAAGCGTCACGCCCTCATGCTCCCATCACTCTGTAATAGAGGACTCATTAGACCACAGGACCTTTTTCCATTACTTCAGAGTCCAGTCTTTATGCTCCTTGGCAAATTGAACTTTTTTTCCCTTAGCCACTTAATCCCTTGAGTTGTCTTTGCTTTGTGCACGTGAGAATCCTTTTACTTTAACTGTTTAACACAGTTGTGACGTCTACTTTCAATTTAAGATTTGATTTCACTACATTTTAAGCCATTTGCAGTTAAGGTTTCAGTTCACCACTATCCCTATTGCAAGTCGAAACACATTAATCGCAGCACTAATTATCCAATTATTCGTTCTTACCTATTTACTTGGTTAAATGCAGATGGGAATGTCTCTTTCCTCTCAGCAGGGCAGAGCTTTTATAAATGCAGAGTGTTACTGTTAGCTGCCCCCTTATTCACCGGGGATCACCACAACAGGTAGCTCCACATGTTTGATTCGACAGTGTTTTTGTACCCAGTGCCCTTCCTGATGTAACCCCGAATGGATTTCTCTCTTCCTGGGATTGCACCAGGGATCTGTTGGTTGGAAGAATGTGTTAATGACTACACTGCAGAGCTGCTGTGTTAGAGCTGCATTAAAAAGGAAGAATGACTTTCTGCATTACATTCCTGAAAAGGTTTTCACATGATGCACCAAACACAGATACCAATATGCATCTGTCATCAGCATCATTACAGGCTGACTGATATGGACTTGGGCTCTAACTGGTCTCTAAAATGCAAATTTTTGGCACCTTATTAGATTAAAGTGCACTTAAAGCACTTCAGCTTAACAGCTTGCATCTAACAGCGATTTGCAGTAAGATACAGGAAACAGCGTTTTTAGAAGCAGTCACTACATAAGCAGGTACTACTAGATCTCATCTAGACTACTACTACTTCTCTAAAACGTGCCTTTTATTAAAGCTCTTGCTGCCTCTCCTCTCCTGCCTGCAGGTGGTCCGCACAGAAAAGAACAGCCTCAACAATCGCTTCCTACCCTGGGATGCCGTGGAAACCGAGGCAATCCTGTCTATCGACGACGACGCTCACCTTCGCCACGATGAGATCATGTTTGGTTTCAGGTGAAGAAAAATGTTTTTGCTATCGCCTGGTGCACACTTGTCATTTCATTTGGTGTTTCTGCGTGCTTATTAAAAGCGTATTAACCCACCGTGGAAATTTTGCTGCAACATTGAAGATGAAAAGTTGATTTAATTAGAATTTTGCGACAAAGATCAACAGAAAAAAAGTCCCTCCTAATTCTAATGTGATAGCAGAGCTCTAAAAAGGGAGCTAATTACAACTGCTAAGCACAGTACTTGTTTAATTATTTTCATTTTTATTGGTGTTGTTTTGTCTTGCAAGTCATTAACTGGAACAACAATTCATAGATAAATTAAAGATGATACGTTGTGAGCGGTGCTTTTCTCAAGAAAAGTGCTTCTGAAGAAAACTGAACGTAAACATTGAGCTAAATAAAAAGGAAGGAAGGGAAAATGCTCAAAATAATGTCGAAACATCACGTTCCTAAAAAACACTGGATCCGACAGAGAGACTGAACCTCCCGCTAGAGACCAAAGTATAGAAAATAAAAGGGAAATGTGCTGTCAGCGTCTTGCCCATACAGCACTCAGATGAGCTGAATATGAAGGCCGTGCTTAAACCAATTAAATGATCAAGCGCGCCGTTAAGTTATTTTGGTTTACAACCTCTCCCCTCTGTCAGACTTGTCTACGACTCGGTGCTGCAGCAGCTTGTCGAGGCAGGCAAAAACTCACTTGCCGAGCACGAGTACGGCGGGGTCATTTGTCACGAATTATCTCAAACTCCCCCAGAATTACACAGGAATGCTTCCCAATCTCCGCTCTCGCCAAAGAGGAGAAGCCATTCGGCAGCCGAGTGCGTTAGACATTTTAAGTGGTCTCACATGAACTCATTCGAGACTTTAATTTGCGCTTTGGGATTTCTTAGCTCTGTGAGTCCGAAGTAGGAATTTCAAGCATCCAATTTGAGGTATCGAAACACTTTTTGTGCACATTCCTGCAGTGAATCATAAGAAAAAAAAGGTTATATACTAATGGAAAAGAAAATAATTAATGCTTGACAGGAAAATGGACACATTGCTTACTTGGCTAACAAGTTGAAACAGATGGATTTGAAAGGGCAGCATATGCACAGACTCTTGAAATCCAAACACAGAAATTTGTTTTTAACTCTAAAATAAAAGGGAACCATCACACAGTGTCTACATGTTGCTTAAGAAGTCTTCAAATATGTCAAATGCTTATTTATGAATAAAAGCCATTAAATCATTTAATAAAATTCTGTTTCTCTTTGGTCACAAATTTCAAGCGCGCAGTGCTGCTGTTCTTGCACATTTTGTGCATCTAGGTCACTCAGTACAACTGCATAGTTGAGGCCAAGCTTTAGAGTTTACTGACTGGGAGTTGAATGACCAAATATTATTATTGGCTGGCGTTTTCCCCGTTATCTGATTTTAAGCAAATCAAACGGCATTTATTGGTGTTTGGTAGCTGAATTTTGCAAAATGTTACAAAATTGCATAAGAGATGAAAAGGTAACAGGTAAAGAGGTAAAATTATGTCAATAAAGATACATTTAGCTGTCTTACCTGTTGTAGCTTATGCCTATAAACCTCCCTAATGCAAAAATCTTCTATCCGCAGGCCCGGTGTTTACTTCTGAAAAAGTGTGTCGCTTTTGATTTGTACACTGCTCAAAGAAATTAAGCGAACACTCGATCATCACAGTGGAACACAAAACCAGTTAAACTTCAGGGATAACAATCTGTCCCGTTACGAAGCATAAACCAGAACTGGCAGGTCAGCCACTGGCACCCGCTCTCTTGACAAACGTAGCTGGATCACACCGAGCACATGTGACAGGCGCGATGGAGTCTGGAGACACTGACAAATATTATGCCTGGAACATGATGTTTGAAGAGATTGGGCACAAGTGGCTGACCTGGCGCTTGTAGTTTTCTCTGGCAGTGGAACTACGTGATGCTGGTCTGTGAGCACAGGTCCCACAAAAGGATGTCAGGCTGTCATGCCGCCCTCACAGAGTCTGATCGGTCAGTCAGAAAACTGAGTAGCCTAATGGAGGTCATTTCAGCTTTTCCTCATGCAAGGGATGTTTTAAGTTATGGTCCTGCTGCTGTAGCTGTGTCCACATCTCCTTGTGTGGTCACCCATCTTCTGGCAAAACCTACTCATGCACAAGCAAATATGGATGTTCCAGCCTGGAGGAGCTGGACTATCTGTGCAGTCTGAATGGACCAGTAGTGACGATAACAATAACAAAAATTAAAACTAGAGAAATATCACTTAGTTAGGAATAGGAGAGAGCAATGGCCTGTGGGCCACCAGCTGCAAAACCACTCCCCTTTTGGTTGGGTTGTCTTGTTTTTGCCACAGTGCACATTCATTCATCCATCCATCCATTCGCTTCCACTTATCCTTTTCAGGGTCGCAGGGGGAGCTGGAGCCTATCCAGCTGTCATAGGGCGAGAGGCGGGGTACACCCTGGACAGGTCGGCAGTCTGTCACAGGGCCAACACACAGGGACAGACAACCATTCACACTCACATTCACTCGCACATTCACACCTAGTGACAATTTGGATTTTCCAATTAACCTATCCCCACAAGCCGCATGTCTTTGGACGGTGGGAGGAAGCCGGAGTACCCGGAGGGAACCCACGCAAACACGGGGAGAACATGCAAACTCCACACAGAAAGACCCCGGCCTGATGTTGGAATTGAACTCAGGACCTTCTTGCTGTGCGGCAACAGTGCTAACCACCGTGCCACCGTGCAGTTTTATTTATATAGCAGCAAATCACAACAACAGTCACCTCAAGGTGCTTTATATTGAAAGGTAAGGACACCACAATAGTGGAGAGAAAATGTCTAAAATCAAAAAAACAGGTATGAGACAGCACCTGGCTAAAATGGGAAGGAAGAACTCCCTTTTAACAGGAAGACATTTGCCATGACTGTTTGGGGTTGATTGTTCTCACTTTAATTTACACCATAGGGGCTGAAATGGATTCACAATGATAGATGCTTTGTAACTGGACAGATTTTTAACCCTAAAGTTTAACAGATCTGTGTTATACTCTGATGATCAACTGTTTCTCTAATTTATTTATTTTCTTTAGGATTGTATTTCCACTGCTCAATAGTTAAGTTTTAAATTGGTTTAAAGTGGTTTATTAGGAGGCTATCAAAAGCTATTAATGTATGTAGTTTTTGATTCAGAGTAGCAGCGAGTAGGTGAAAGGATACAGAACAGTAAACAGATTTTGATGTGTTCTGACACATAGCATTATATTTGGTTCTAAACACTTCATTAGAAAGAATCCAGCTTTAAATGTTTCCATTATGTTGTTGAGAGAGCCTGTGAGCCCAAGCTCCTCGACAAAACATATCAGTATCATAGTTTCTAACAGGGAAACTGTATTTCTGGTGTTAAAAGATGTGTAAACCTAAATCAGTCAGACGATTTATCCTGGCTTTGATATTGTCTCTTTGAGATTACTATCCAGTATGCTGTAGTGGCACAATGTGATTAAAGAAGTGCAAGTGTTAGAAAATAGAGAGGCATGTGTCGTCCTTTGTATTTGTATTCATGATAAATATTATTGTTACAAAGACTAATTATTTTGCAAAACAAATTTACCATATCAGTGAAGACGAGATTATTCTATCAGGCGGCCTACAGGAGGACATTTTTTATTAGGCATAGCACGACACAGTTCAATTAAAAGAACATGTTTATACAACTGATGGAACTGAATTCATTGGCAAAACAGATAATACAAAAAACCCCAGTAAAAGTGGGTTTAAAACAATCTCTCTATTTGATTGAATTAGTGCGTGCGCTGTAATACTTGGTGATTCATTAAAATATTATGTTCTATTATGTCTCACAATGCTTTTCCTAATATGGGCCACAATTTATGTTGTAAGCCGCTGAGTGTTTGTATGTTGTTTGTTTGTTTAGGATGTTATAGTGCGCTATGAAAGATTTGTGACCCCAGGAGCTGAAGCTGCTGTATTGCTTCAGCTAACAGCAATTGTGCTAAACTAAACTGCACATGTAAACACCCTGCATCTTAATTAACTGATTTAAATTGGAATATTTTGTGGACTTCTCTGGGTGGCTCAGAGTGTGGCGTGAGGCCAGAGATCGCATCGTAGGTTTTCCTGGGAGGTATCACGCGTGGGACGTCAACCACCAGTCCTGGCTCTACAACTCCAACTACTCCTGTGAGCTCTCCATGGTCCTGACAGGAGCTGCCTTCTTCCATAAGGTCAGAAAATGAAAACGGCTGAGCGGTAGGTTCACATCTGGCTGTGTTGGAGCATATCATTTACATATTTCCCCTTGTCCTTGTCTTCTCGCAGTACTACGCGTACCTGTACTCCTATGTGATGCCCCAAGCTATTAGGGATATGGTGGACGAATACATTAACTGCGAGGACATCGCCATGAACTTCCTCGTCTCTCACATCACCCGCAAACCACCCATCAAGGTCAGTGACAGAGCATGCAGTCTGGCTCTGGGGGCTTTGCACCTCCTTCAGGACGTGGGTATTTATATTTCTGCCTGCTTAGCCTTGCCATTACTCAAACTGGCATATCCAATATTCCGCACAAATTATACTTTTTAAAAACACAAGATCGAATCCGTGCGTTACGGCAGATTCCTTCTCTCTTTTCTCCTGGATTTTTATTGGAAGAACATTTATTGCCGCCGAGCACACTTATGGCTAGGCAAATAATTATAGCAATCAAGCTAGGGAAGCTGTTAGAAGAGAAATGTCATTGCAGCCCTCACTTTAAGTTCTTTTTGATTTAGTGGGGTGTTAATATTCAGGGGCGTTTCAGAGGGGAATTAAGGACGTCTTTGATGGAGTGTGTTGCATGACAGTGTTTTCGCTGCTAGGAATAAGTCTTGTGAATAATGAATTTGGGGCAACTTTGAACGAGTCCTAAGCGGTGAGGGAATCTATTTTTCTTTAAAATAAGACAAATAAAGAAGAAAATAAGTGGATTTTGTTGTGCCACTGTGAGGAATTGATATCTTGTGCAGATTTTTCAAGCTTGTTTCTTCTCCTCTTCCTACAATAATAAAAACAGCTGCTAGAGTTTGCTTTGGTTTGTTGTCAGATTCAGTAGCTTGCTGCAATCTAGCTGATTGCGCTAAAGTTGACATCAACTGTTTGCTTGTAATGTTTCAAGCTAACATTTTTTAAACAACTAAAATATGATAAAAAGGTTTGACATTGATGGCTTGAGAAATTATACAATGCTAGAAACAAACGATGGACATGTTTGTCAGGAAAGTCAGCATGGGCGTGGTTAAAAACATGCACTGTTTTTTGCAGCACAGTCATGTTTCAAACAGTGTTGTTTTAATAGTTTCAAAATAAAAGCAGACCACTTCACTGCTGCAATAACCTGATAAAAATGAGAGCAAATTGTAAATTAACTGGTATTTGTAGCACCTTTCTACTACAAGACTCAATCAAGTGCTTACGAAGAGTCACACACACTCACGCTTTGATGGATGCATCCCTGGAGGAGTCAGGGTTCGATCCACCAACGTTGGTTTTATATTAATTTCCCTGTTCGCCTTCGGTGCTCCCTCCGACTCTTTTTCTTTTCCCGTGCAGAGTTTTCAAAAGTTGCTTCAGTTTTTCCAGCATCAACCATTTCAGCTGCTTTGGAAAATCTATCAACTGCTGCTGTAGGAAAACAGAAACGTTATCCTCTTTCTGCTTTGGCTACGTGATCAAGCCTTTGTTTACCCCTTTGTTTAGAGTAGATGTCCTACCACATTTGGTACAGGGCATCAGTGAGCTACTGGATCTTCCACAGTTCACTTCCATACATTAACATCTCAGCGGTTCACAGCTGGATTCAGGTGTGGGGAATGTGGGGTCCAGTCGGTGGCATCAGTGTCCTCATGATCCAGGTAGTGCTTACAAACCCTCACTACATTAACCTGGGCGTTGTCCTGCACCAGGAGGAATGCAGGGCCCACTGCACCAGTATTAGGTCTGAGGGTTTCATCCCTGTACTGATGGCTAGAATCTCAAGGTCTGTGTGACTCACATGATCACTGGTTCACTGCCAAACTGGTCACGCTGGATAATTTTGCAGGCAGCACAAAGTTTGCCACGACATCTCCAGACGTTTTCACATCTGTCACATATGCTCAACATAAAGCTGCTCATCTCTGCAAAGAGAACAGGACATAGGTGGGAGATTTTCCAGTTCTGGTGTTCTCTGGCGTTTGCCGATCAAGCTGCGGGGTTTAGCATGTATTAAATCATGGTGCATTTAATGATGATTAATGGCTGTCTATTAATGATAAACTTCTTCCCTCTCACAGCAATGTTGTGAAGCACCACTTGCTGAAACTACATATAATTACATTTCAGTAATGCAAACTCGAGTTTCTTACATTTTAAGCACTAACCCCCTGCTGTCTATTTTAGGTGACGTCTCGTTGGACTTTCCGCTGTCCGGGCTGCCCTCAGGCCCTTTCGCACGACGACTCGCATTTCCACGAGCGACACAAGTGCATCAACTTCTTCGTCAAAGTCTACGGCTACATGCCGCTGCTGTACACGCAGTTTCGTGTGGACTCGGTGCTGTTTAAGACTCGATTGCCCCACGATAAGACCAAGTGCTTCAAGTTCATTTAGCGTCTGGGCGAGCGTCAGCAAAGAGCCAAAAGCAGGGTGAACTGAAGGAGTGAAAATAGGAGTGAAAAACAGCACCTTCCACTGCAAGCAGTAATAAAGATGGATGGGTGGGCTGCAGGGCAAATGGAAAGTAAGCCCAGAAAGACAAGTTAAAAGCTGTTGGCTGGCGGTCTAATCAGCAACACTACTGAAAATGTGAGGAGTGGAAGCTGGAAGGGACCACTGCCAACAAAAAGAAGCCTTTTCAGTGGATGTCACTCTTTTTCCCCGTGTTCTCTAATCATGCTCAGTCATCAAACCACTAGCTGCAGATGTCATTTGCACCTCTTAACCGCCTGCTGAGGAACGAGGGCGGGGTGTACACAGTGTACAGAAATTCTCCCAGGTTAGCAACACCTGATAATGGGGTTGGCGAGTAACTGACAGATGCCAGGCTGCGTTTGACCCAGCAGACTTTTAACGGTTTCAGCTGAGAGATCAAACAGCACACGGCCGCCACTACGCTTTTGTTTTACGGTTACAAACTGTACGTCTTGTACATGTATATGAGCGAAGCACTGAAGGTCAGAAGTATTTTATTGATCTTTTTTTTTTAATGATGTCGTTTAAGTGTAAATCTTTATGTGGAGTGAACCTTTTCCACAGCCCCTGCCTGTGGGAGATCAGGCAGGACCTCGATTGAAAGTCAGCCCAATCATGTTTTAAGTATCGTCGAGTGCTCAAGGGGGAAAATTCACTTCAGCGGTCACCATAATGCCTCAAATTTGTCATGAAAACCAGCCACCATGTTGTCATTTCATATTGCTTACACGATCTGGACTCGGTGGAAGTGTTCGAAACAGCTTGATTTTTTTTTTTATACTATGATGTTTGTAAAATTAGACGTTAAAAAGTAGTATCGGCTAATCAATGTTCGCAGGTAAAGTGCAACAAAGTCAAGAATAACAGCTGCCAAAATCAACAAAACATTGACTTTATTATTGCTGAAAGTTTTCAGTGACGGTCAGAATTATGGGAAAATCTTAAAGAGAACAAAAATGTTTTGTTTAAAAACACTTACTTTGTTTTGTGGTGGAGAAGTGGAGCAGGATATCAATCCCTTTCTCCAAACAGGCTCTTAAATATTAAATCAAAGCCAACAGCTGATGACCCTAACGTAGCATAAAATAAAGACTGGAAACTACCGTGGCTCTGCTTAATGGTACCAAATACTGCCCAATTGCACCTGTAAAGCACACTAAATAATCCAATGGTTCTCAAACTGTGGGGCCAGCCCCACTCTTGGGGCATAGACCCCCTGAAGGCGGGGCTTGGAGGACAAGGAAAGAACTCCGAGCTAAAGTGAATGGAGATGGGTTTTGTATTGTAAATAAATTGACGCTATGACGCTGACATTTATTTTACTTTAACATTAAACTTGTTATTGTCACAGACAAGTGGGAGTGATTGAATTGCGTTTGATTCGTGTATTGCTTTCCACCTGCTTTAATACTGATGATTATGTCGGCGGGCTTGTGTATGTTCTCTACAGAGGAAATAAAAAGAGGAGGATGATGGGGAGAAAATGTGTAGTCAGGTCCACAGTAGTGTATATATACCACCAAGGAGAGCAGCCAATCATATTCAACCTTGCTAACACAGCAGCGAATGAGCTTATCAGCAGAAGGGGTAAACAGTATTGAGTCATAACATTTGCCTGGCTCTTTAATCCCCTTCTTACAGTTAATAGGAACTGTAAACCAACAAGATGACATTAGCAAACTTGACGGTTGTAAATTCCTGGCCTGATGGGCGGCTGGGTTTGTATACAGAAGTGTAAAACCCTGGGTGTTGGGCATGTTATAAAAGCTTTGAGAACCATTGAATGAACCCTTTTTGATTCATTTTATGGGAAGATTTGCTAAAATGTTTATACCGTTTCCAGTCTTTGCATTAAGCTAACAGCTGCTGGTTGTAGTTTGTTCAGTCACAGTAGGGAAAACAGGTGTTGGAAACTATCGCAGACAAGTTGCACTCATCAGCCCTGACTGACTCAGATTGATTGCAGTCAGTTACCACAATCTGTCTTCATTTGTAACTTAGGCAGCACTTCTGTGCAAGCCTTTGCCAATCTGTCAGAGTGATTGCATTCGGTTGAAGTCACACCACGACTGTTTGGAGACGGGTTGGGTTCTAATAGGCAACTGGTGCAGTCTCCTCTGAATCAAAAGTGCCCAGAGTTTGAGGGTGCTGCTTACTCAACCTGTAGGCAACCAGTTGCAAAAATGCAACAAAAAAAAAAAACTTCAATGTTTTGGGTTTTTTTCATAGTCACAAGCAGGTTGCCATCCTATTTTTACTCCAGTGTGACCGAGCCATAACAAATATGAGCTTGCTTTCCACCAGCTGGCAATCCTGTTTTCTAAACTGTACAACTTGTCTTTAAACACTTCTGACTTTTCAGTACAGGTATTCAGTATGTTCCACCATAATCACGTCATCCCTCTGCAGAGAACTCTCCCACTTCGGACAGAAAAGTCACTTTACAGTGTCGCCATATTGGTTTCACTTCATCTTCGACTGTTGCTTGATGAATGTTTTCTTTGCCAAATAGGTACGTTGTCTGCTGCTTTCCAGCGTAGTTTGCAGGTGCAGATACTAGGTGAAAGGATGCAGTCTGGTACACCCACTTCCACTCTGCATGGTACTTGACCAGGAGTCAGTCCACTGGAGCCCAATCCATCATGTACGAGTGCTTTATTTGACCTTGTCAAGACTTAATTCATGCAATCTAAATAAAAGGCGTAAGATTCTTATAAATGTCATTCAGATTATGTTCTGTGAGGATGTTTTTATCAAACAAAATGTCATAAGGCCAGGGTTCCTGTGTATTTATTGAATATATTACTGAAAAAGATTTTTTTGTTTTTTAAACCGATACTGAAACATGCAATAAACTGTCAAGATATTGTAGTTTAATAGACCTGAAAACAAAGAAATCTCAACCTGACTGTCAAACTTGTCATTGCCAAAGAAAACTAGCTGGTGCCACTGACTGAGAGCTAACGGATGACTTGTTTTTAAAAAGATTAACTTGCAAACAGATAGTGAGGGGACAATAGTGGAGTTTCTTTAAATCCAAATCGCCTGCTCCATATTGCTACTCTTGCTCCGTAATCCCTCCAAGTGAAACATAAAAATGTTGGATCAGGCCTTTTTACCCAAGAGGGATAAACACGGAGCCAGATTTCTAATTAGTGTGGGCGAAAATGGCTGCGCAGAGTCCAAATTTCCACTTTGTGTTGCTGCACTGAACTAGAAAAACCAGCCTGGCTCCTAACCTCATCACGTCTGAACACTTTTATTGGCGCTCCAGGGGCCTCATAATTACCTGGCTGACTCTAAAACAGTCCTCGGGGCTCTGTTTGGGTCAGCTGGTGTTCCTCCGGTCCCTGTAGTTCCCACCCTCGAGGATCTGTGGCACAGCTGGTTTTCTGTGGCTCGGAGCAGGATGCATTTGCCTGGAAGGCTGCAGTCACTCTGCTAGGTGTAGAGTTGTGAAAAAGGAAAAAAAAAAAAGTGCTCCTGGGTCTGATCCCCAGCTGTGGGCGACCTGCAGCATTGTACCAGACTGATGACTGATGACAGCGTCAAACATACCATTGAAGGCCAGATGAATGGAAATAAAAGCTCTCAACGTTGTTAAAAAAAATATGACTCTTGTCCTTATTCAGGTGTCTGTTGGAAATCTGCTCCTTAGACTTGGATCAGGACATTTTGGGAAGTAATTATTTGCTCTTTAGTGGAGTTCTGTCAAGGGGGGAGGTGCTGCATATATTGGCAACCTACTACTTCCCAGAAATTTTCCATTTCTGACCACAATGCACTAATAGTTGGAGTTCCTACTTGGTAAACTTTGGTGGGGCTTCTCAGCTTTGACGTTAATATTTTCCATCATTCCCCGAAATGACAGCTTTTTTCCCCAGGTAATAAAACTAACCACCTACCTTCAGGTGACCTTTTTAGCTCTTTGGTGTCTTCGGTTAAGTGAACAACACTTACCTGTTTAACTTCTTACTAATGCAAATATCTCAACGGCTCAAAATAGTCTCACTGTTTTTACGGTTTTCTTAAATCAGAGAGTGCTTGGTCCTAAAAAGGCCTCCAACGTCACAACCTAACCTCAACCTAATAGAGCACTTTTGGAATGTGGTGGAACGAGAGATCCGCATCATGGATGTGCAGCTGCGTGACGCTATCATGTCAATATGGACCAAAAATATCTGAGGAATGTTTCCTGCACTTTGCTGAATCTACGCTATGAAGAACTGTGCCTAATAAAGTGTCCAGTGAGTCATTTTTCTCAGAAATAAAACACTGTTTGTTCCACTTTGTGCGCAGATCAAAAATTTGTAAATGACTTTTTCCCCCTTTGTGGTTTTGTGAAAATTAAGGCAGAAACCTTAAGAGATGTGAAACATATATCATGTAGTTACCAGTTGTTCATAACCTGCTACACAAAAATTTGATTTGTCAGGCAGACCTTTATATCTTTAGTCACAGCCACTTCCAGGGCTGCCTGCTGTGTGTGTGTCACAAAACTAACTCAGTGGCCAGAGTTGGGAATGAGAGGCAGGTGTTTGAAGGAGGAGAGCATTACAGCACCATGTGCTGATCTGGAGTCTGGATCTAAGTAAATATTTTAACTATATTTTTACAATGTACTTTAGTAATATTTTTTTAAATGTAATTTTTATGCGAAATGCAGAATGATCCATCTATCCAGCCAGCCCATGAATATTTCATCCCACACTTCGAAAGCAGCTCATTTAAGCAGGAAAACCACAGACCTGGCAACCCTGGATGTTTTCCTCCATTTCCAGTCTTTAGGCTACATTAAGCTGGCTCGGACTGCACATTTGCCATTAAAGCTAACTCTCCAAGAATGCGAACAGCCCTGTTCCCCAATATTGTGTCAATGGTTATCAGTGCTGGCTAAACACAACCTGCACTTTAAAACTAAGTGCACACCAAACTAAAAATTTTCTGTTATTCCTGATTGTGAAAAAAATGATCATCTATTAGAAAATCTAGATAACATCTGTTTTTTATTAAAACCTGCAAAAACCTCTTTTGAAAACTTAGAAATTGAAATTGGCCCAACAGAAGCTCTAAAGGGACGAGGAGTGGTTGCAGTATTCATAAGTGAGAAGAAGGGTTCAAATCTGACATCACTGGGACAGAGAAAGAAGAATGCGCCCCACACCTCTCGGTTTCAACCAGCAGAAGCAGGGGAAAGGGTTTCATTCACTAATACAAGGGTGTGGCTGTGCAGTCTTCAGCATTCTTATCGGGGGATTTTCTGACTCATAGCTGCTCTTTCAGAGGAGTTTAAAATGGCCTTTGTTCCAGATGAACCCCTCGCCTGGATAATAAGATTTCTCAGTTCTGAACATTTTTTCCCCATTTTATTTTAGCCTTTATTTAATAATGAAAATGAGAAAATATGATCATCTCCTTCTTGTGATTTGTTTCGCCACTCAAACTCAAATTACAGCGTACACAGTCGAGGCAGAAACGGCCAGGTTTACTTGGCCTGTGCAGGCTTTTGCATATTCCTCCTCAGCGGGAAGCACCATGTTTCTACATGAATGAACATGGCTGAGTTGTTAGAAGGCTGAATAGTGAAACAGGCTCGATCTGCATTACACAGGAAAGGAAGCTGCTCTTTGATACCGGTGGCATGCAGAGCTGTGTCCAATTCTGTAAGAGACTCGGCAAGCACAAGAAAGAATTGCATTCCTCTCGTCTAAAGTGGCGTCAGATGCATAGTGCACTGAGTTATGCAAGGCCACGAGATAAAAAAGAAAATCTGTCTTTGTTTAACGCACAGCCCACAGAAACGACCATAAAACTGGTAGACTAGGAAGAATAACCCAAGAACTTAAAAGGAAAAACCAATGAATGGATCTTGCATAATGTCATGTGCGTGTAAACAAACTGTATAAAGCATAGCTTGTAAGTATAGCTGCAGCATGTTATAGGCCCTTTGTAACAGTCTTCTTCATTCATTGTCTTTTGTCGGTGGCTACGACTGATTGAGTAATGTCTGGTATGCTGGTGGCAGCTGAAATCCAGAAAAGGAAAGAAGGAAGGAGCCTGCTAGTACTGGACCGAGCTCTTTGGTCCAAGATTCAGAGGCGGAAAAATGTCTGGAAGTGTCTTAACATGGTCCTGTAAACAAGGCGGAAGCAGGAGTCAGTCCATCTGTCTCAGAGAAAGGTGGCAGATTAAAGGGTATTCATGCAGTCTGGCAGTTAAGACGAGGAACCCATGCTCACCTCTCACACCTCTATGCAACACACACAACACACATCCCACAGGGAGTTTTCTTGCGCTCCGAAAATGTAGAGGGAATGCTCTTTCTGGAAGTTCGGTCTTGGAAAATCGTCCTCCTATGTGTCGGTGAGGGTGTGCCAGTGGCAGACCTGCTGTCCCTCAGCCTCCTTCATCTCTGTCCAGTGGGCCTGCTGCTCCTCGCTGGTGCTGTTGAGGCCCAGGGAGACCCAGCCCAGCCTCTCCCTGGGCCTCATGCTGCTCCGGCGGCAGAACACCGACACCACTAGTGACACCTCGGACAGCTGGAAGAGTGCCACCTGGAACACGAATGTCTCCTTGTAGATCGGATTGGGCTGGCCACGGCAAACGGCCGTCTTACACTTGGACATCTCCTTTCCCTTTGAGTCCAGCATGGTCAGCTTCACATAGGTGTCTGAAAGGAAGCATTGGAGGAGAGAAGTGAGACATTGCCATCAAGTGGTCGGACATGTGTACTACAGCAGGAGGTACGGAGTGTCTTTTAATAATAGCTCTCAACACCAAGAACGCTATAATTGCCTCACTCCTAAAACTCATGCTGCTGGTGGATTTTTTTTAAACTGTGGAACTCTTTGAAAACTGCAAATGAAGTCCCATTAATCTATTTCATATTTGCTGGCAGCAGATTTCTGAAATCTTCTGCACATAAATTATAAATGATGCCAAAGGAAAGTGACCTTTAGAACATGCAAGCAAGTCAGTGCAGGGTAGAAAACTAAAAACTTTGTGGCTTGAGAAGAACTACTGACTGACATTTCTGGGAAGCTACTTTCTTGCCAAGATACTGATCTCTATCAGCTTAGTAAATATGGAGTTAGAGCCTGGAGAAAGTTGGATTATCTCAGAGTAACAACAGGAGAAAACAGCAAACCAGCCAAGGGCTGACCTAATTTAACTAATTCTGTAGAGTCAGTCTAATGCTCCTCTGACTGTGCCACTTCTCATGTTAGCAAGCTGTTCCCTCGATGCTTACATTTGGAAACAGCATACCTGGTTTACTGAGGTTACTACTAAAAAAAACAACTGTGTCTGTTAAACTAAAAACACATTAAACGTTAATAAAAACAAACAAACCTAAATGCACTACATGGATCTGCACTATTAGCCAAAAGTTTCCTACCAATCAAATCTTTAATCCAACAAATGTTTTTGTAACTGACATTCGTTCACCACATTAATGCACAACTAGCTAAGCTCCCAGCTCTAGATTTATATATAACATAAAGAAGTGAGAGCTGAATTCACCCTGTCTGACAAGAAAGCAAAATGCTGAAGTCTGGCCTCAGAGGACCAAACCTAAGAATGCTACAAACTGGTACCTACGGTGCGTAATGTAGTGCACAAAAGTCTTGATCTACCTCCCATTTCTTTATATTTTGCAAGAAAGAATGAATGAGATGTGCAAATAAATACATGGAAACATGCAGTAAATAAGGGAAATAAAACAAAGTTTGTAAAATTCTAACAAACTTGGTATGACCACCTTTGTTCTTCAGCGAAGTCTGAACTCTCATAGCCAAGCTTTCTTGTAATTTCTCCAAGTAGTCTTCTCCAGGCTTCTTAACAGACGTTTAAAGCTCTTGTTTGGATGTTGCCTCCCTTTTGTTCTGTTCTCTGTCAACATGATCCTACACTGCTTCAATAATGTTGAGGTCTGGACACTGGGGAGGCCATTCCCCATTAAATTAGACCTGCTTGCACTGATTTTCAGTTCGGTTCTTGCGTAATTTGGCATACCTCATCCTTTTCTCCTCGTTTCCCTTCCTTAAGAGTGGTTTCTTGACAGCAACATTTCCACTGAGACCACTTCTGCTGAGGCTTCAGTGAACAGTAGATGAATCAACTCAAGTTTCAGATGCATCTCCTGCAAACGCGGTGCTAGATTTTTTCTTAGTTTGCAAGGATGGGACTCATAGCATTCCTCTGAAAATGGTCAGGTACAAGGACTGGACTGAAAATGAGTGAAAAAGCCTCCAATGCCCAACAAAAAGCTCTGAAGGTCCTTCAGAACGCCTGGAGAACATTGCTCAAGATCACTTTTAAAAATTACAATACAGCCTGGCAATATAAAGAGAAAAATGTAAAGGAATGGGAGATGGGGCAATACTTTTACACAGTTCTACACATCTGTACAACCCTCACCAAATCTACAAACGTACAGAAAGCTTACATTTAGTTTACTTTTGTCTTACCTCTCATGATATAAAGCTGTCCCCCTACGAAGTGTTTTACACAACAAAACAGACCATCTGTGGCAGACACACACCATAGCACACACACCATTGGAAAGAAGAAAGAGGGGAAGCAGTTTAAAGATTTCAATATACAGCAGAAGGTCAGCTTTCACGGGAAGCACGGCGAGCATGACAAGCAGCAGGTCCTTCAGCATTTTGGCTTTAATAGCTTAGGTTATTAAAAAGCTGGTGTTCGTGCCAGGGAACGTTCAAATGTAATGATCCTCTATTTGCTTCTGTTGCATGCTGTTGGAAGTCCTGCCCATCTGCTCGGCCCAAACAATAGCCTGACATATCAGCACCCATTGGGGGAAGAGAAGTTTAACTGAACAATTTACAGCGTCATTCCACACTTCAACCCACGCTGGCACAAAAGCCCAAAGTTAAATATATGTACTTACTGACGGGTTTATCAGATGCTGTCGTTTTGAAGTGATTTCCCTTGATTACCTCAGCTGAGAGCTGCCCTGTGGCAGAGTTGTAGATGAGACCCAGGAGGATCTCGGGTGTGGATGAGTCTTCAGTGGAGCGATAGGACAGAGCCCCCGCACTGCGAGACACGCTCACCACAGAGCCACAGCCCTGGCGAGGCAAAACCCAGAGGCACTTTGAGTCAATTACCACTTAATCATCAATTAAAACAATAAGAAGCCAATAATTCATTAATCAACCTAGGAGTTAGGAGGGGCAGTTTGAGAGTGTGACAAAGACAGATTTCTGAATCTGTAGAGAATGATGGTAGAAATGTAACTTTCAGTGGAAAAAAAGCATCTTAAACCTTATTCACCAAAACTTTTAAATGTTTTTTAAACCAACTTAAATGGTGACACTATACATGCAGTTTTTATGTCCTAGATGCCCACAGTTGCTTCTTAATAACTGCTCAAATAAAAAATTAAATAACTGCTTCTCCAAGGATGTGTAGATGAAGGAATGCTGAAGATACTGATAAATAAAGTAGAAATGGTGTACAGCTGATATTTGAGATGTAAAGTATATTTTAAAAGTGTTCTCACTGTAAGTTCAGAGCCAGGCTCCAGGGTGACAGGTAGAGCAATTTTGCCCTGCAGGTTGAGCTTCGTCAGGTAGAACACCTTCTCTCCCAGGACCTTCTCTTTTTTCATCCGTCTGATGCTGTACAGGCGGAAGCGAACAGCATAGTCTCCCAGGGCCTCCTGCTCCACCCTGGAAAACTTGAATGTTTCTGTGAAGATGGGACACGGGCCCTTCTGAACGCCGGTCTTAGCACGTTGCTTCTTGGTGGGCAGCAGGACCAAGTGGACCTGCCACGAGATGTTGCCGGTCTGTTTGAGAGCAGGAATGTCAGTTGCAGCTGTGACAGTGACGGCCAGCCACTGCTCACTGGAATCGTACTCAAAGGCGACATCCAGGGTGCCGTATTTGGCGAGGGGCTCTGGCTCGTAGGCAGTGGGAAGCGGAGGACCAGAACCATCCTGAATGTACAGAAAAGAAAAAACAATTTCCCCCTCCTTTATGAATTTTACTTTCATTTCCGGGATTTTATTAATTTTTCCCCATTCTGACATAGTATTAGAACATTCAAATAATTAAGTCAGTTCAGAGTGTATTTCCACATTTTTACAGAAAATACACAACAAAAAAATGAAACTGTTGTCAGCGAACGTATCACCCAGCCCTTCCTGTAAGTGTTGATGAAGTGTTGCTCCCAACTTTGATCATTCCATCAAACTACAGGACATCCAAAACAAACTGCTTACACACAGAAAAGACAACAAACAGTAGGTCTGATCTCCCACCTCTGGCCCTAGAACAGCAGTGCTGTCACTGGGTATGTCCTCATCACAGGCTTTGTTGAGGTAACTCTCTGTGTCCTGGTCCCCGCTGGCCTCACTGGAGCAGTGGGGGCTGTCACAGTGTTGTGTGGACGGTGTCCTCCTGACCCCTCGCTCTGAGCGGGATCGAGAACCCACGCAGGCCCCTGAGCCCTCGTCTTGGTACGGTGGAGGCTGAGGTTCACCGAGCGAGGAATCTTTCTTTATCCTCTGGATGCTGCTGGCTGCTCTCACGACAGTGACAAAGAGGGATGCAGGAGTGTTACTGGAGTCGTACTGTGCTCTGCATGGAAACTCACTAGGTATGCAACATACAGTCTAGCGACATACAGTGTCTCCTCAGTCTTTGCAAACCTATATTGTCATTTTAAATTCTTGTTAAATCTTGGAAAAACAACATTTCATGTACTAATATAGTGGTGTCAACCATAAGGTCTGGGGGCCATAATCGGCCTAGCAAAGACTCTAGTCTGGCCCACTAGATGGAAAATTATAAGACGTACAAATATATTTAGACTTTTATTGTATTTTCATACATTTTACACTTTTCCTACTGATAAAGCCACCCCCAACCACTGTGCCTTATACTACTCCTGTTTTTGTGCTATTTAATGTAGAAATGTGTTTTTGTTTTTAACAGTGAGTCCACTTTTTTAAGGGAATAAATGGAAAACTAAGTTTTATAATTTTATAATTCCAGGGTAGTCTGGGAAATGAACTACCAGAACTTTTGTCATTTTATACATTTATCATGTAGTTTAACTGTTCAGGCCCACTTATGGCCAAAATATACAAAGAAAACATCCCTGTAAGCCAAAAGAGAAAGTAAAGAAACACATTCTCACTCATTATGTGTTCATACAGCTCTCTGCACTGAATCATACTTGGCTCTCTTCCACAGCATGTCTTTTGTCCTGTTTTCCTCCTCCTACCCCAACCAGTCGCGGCAGACGGCCGCCCCTCCTTGACCCTGGTTCTGCTATAAGCTTCTTCCTGTTAAAAGGGAGTTTTTCCTTCCCACTGTCACCAAAGTGCTTGCTCACAGGGGGTCATATGATTGTTGGGTTTTTCTCTGTATGTACTATTTTACGGTATACCTTACAATATAAAACGCGTCAAGATGACTGTTGTTGTGGTTTGGTGCTGTATAAATAAAACTGAATTGGACTGAATTGTAAAGAAAGCTCTTAGAACATTAGTTAGTTATCCCAACTGGCAAAGATGCACAGTAAACAAGGTCAGACAACAATAAGGGAGAAACAAAATGACAAACAGAACAACGCTGTCGTCCCTTAGGTTTATTGGATAAACTCAGGAAACTCTTCTCCAAGCACGACATCCCAACGCACTTCACACACAGCCACTCAGACAAAAACTGGTTCATCCCACGGACAAAACTCCAAAACACGAACTGAACATCGTAGTGTATGCAGTGCAGTGAGGAGTGCTCAGACCTCTACATTGGAGAAACCAAAAAGCCACTTCATAAACACAACATAGAAGAGCCACCTCGACAGGACAAGACTGAGCTGTACATCTGGATCTAAAGAACAAAGGTCACTCTTTCGAGGATGTCAATGTCCACATTTTGGACAGAGAAGACAGATGGTTTGAAAGAGGATGAAAGAAGCCATCTTTGAACAGAGGGTGTGGCTTACAACACCAACTGTCTGCCACCTATAATGTAGTTTTGAGATCCCTTTCCAGGTGCCTTTAATTCCCATTAATACCTTGCAATGGTTTCACGTGAAACCTCTGCTGATAATAACCCACACCCTTTTTCACACTTTGGCTCGTGTGATGAGGCACATGATCAATACTGGCTCCTTATTCATATTCATATTAAATCTATTCATTAAATATGTATCCTGTGATTATTTTCCTCATCACAATACTTGACAAAAGCAGCTTTAATTAAAACATTTAAAAGATCATTTTACAACAATAAAGATCAACACCACATTATGTTTGTGCAGTAAAAAAATGAAGATGCAGCCAGTTAGGTTAGATTGGTCTGGCATCTGAAACAGGTGAACACAACACAATCAAAACATATCACTGCATAAAGATAGAAATAGTGACTTTTAGAGATTGTAGCATGAGAATATTTGTTACTTCTGGATCAATCTGGGTGAGTTTTTCCCCATTAGTCCTGAGGGTAGTGTCATTATTGAATTATAACCAGATTCATGTATTTGGGTGTTAGACTGCTATCAATTTTCTATTCCAAGTCTGGGAAAGAAACCAAATAAATTTTACTTCCTTCCAGTAACAGACATTTAGCACTAACCCAAGATGTTTAGAGAAAAGGACACTCGCCAGAAACTCTCCATATGAAATATGTAGCTATTTCTATTAATTAAAAAAAAAACAAAAACAGAATAGACACTACAATTACAGATAAATAAACACAAAAAGATGTTATGCATTTGATGTTCCGAGTTTAGTATTTATGCAATCTTAGATGATTCTTGTATGCGTTGCGTTTTATGATTCTTATCATATTGTATCTGATTTTGTGGGGTTTTATGTTCAGCGATGTACCGTGTACGTACTTTTCCACTACATGTGCTCTCACCCTGTTCACTGGAGGCCTCGCTGCTGTATCCTCCGTGCTCAGATGACTGTTTGCGTGTGCTGCTCCATGCAGAGGTTGTGTTCTGCTGGGCCTCGCCCTCTGGAATTCTGTCCTCCTCACTGTCTGATAAAACTCCCTCTGCACGTCACACATGGGCATTAATTCTAGTAAACCACAGATTATAACGTGTGCAATATTTAACGAAGTAAGAAACTCAACCACTTAAACATGCAGCTGCTGAAACTGGCACACGACAGGTCGAAATTGTGAATTTTAGTGCAAGAACTTGAAAACATGAGCAGAAGAGAAGATCCAAAGGGCAGTGAGGAGAGAGAAGCAGCACACTCTCTAACCTTGGTTTCCTTTCTTTTTCCCCTTTTTGCTCTTCTTGCCTTTGTCCCTCTTTTTCTCCACATCCGAAGCCTTTTCAGTTTTTTTCGAACCCTCTTTTGCGACTTTCCCCTTTTTCTTATCCGACGTTTTCACTCTGGAAGACGATCTATAAAGCTCAGATTCTTCCTCATCGTCTCCCTCTCGCTCAGTGCCATCCTCTACCTTCTCTCCCTCCTCCTCATGATCGTTTTGCTCTTCCTGCTTTGACACCCTGCTTTCACTCTCACAACCAGGTGAATGAGGAGTTTTATCATTGTCACCACTTTTTTGCTGAACAGCTGATTGGTCATTTGACTTCTTTTCTGTGTTTTCTAAATCATCAGCCTTCTCCTCTTGAGAGTCTTCTTCATTTCTCGGAGACTTGGCTTCTTTCTCCAGCTGCTTCTGTCTCCTTTCTCTTCTCCTCTGTTCTCTCCTCTCCTGTAGGTCCTTCTCCTCTTTCTTCCTCCTCTCTTCCTCTGCTAACTCGGCTTCTGTCTTTTTAACTCGCCAACATCCGTCCCTCCATTCCCACTCCAGCTGGCTCTGAGTGTTCTCTGCCTCGGTTGTATCACTAGTTTGGCTGTTCTTTGAGCCTGTGTTCCCCCCCTCTGAGTCTCTGGGCATTTGCCACATGCTTTTACTCCCGGACTTGCCTTCTTGCAGGGTGGAATTCTGACCCAATTCCTGGCTGCCGTTTTCTCCATCTTCCTTTTCCTGCACCTTGTCGATGATAGTAGTGACCTGTTCGGTCAGCTGGTCACTGACAGCATAGGTGACATCGCTGACGGCATTGGCAAGATCGTCCACACGACTGGTGACTGAGTCCAAGATGGAGGAAATGTTGACAGATGGGAGGTTCTGCTGGAAACTCTTGAAGAAGGCCATCTCTCAGCCGGGGTTCCTCCTGTCACCGTGCTGATCACTAGATTAGCTCATCAGAGGCACTGACACAACATGTGTTTGTTAGCATGGTGTGCTGGCAGTGTTACAGTGAGTGCTGACATGTACATACGCACCAATATGGTGGTAATAAGAATTATACTCGTTACAGGTCTCATGCTTAGACATTATCGGGCAGTTTTACGGATGTAGAGTAAGCCTAGTCATAGACTAAAAGAAAAATACAATTAAGACCACAAAAATAGCTTTCAGTTCAAGACTTAGACAAGACTATGTGTGTCACAGCAAAAGCAATAAAATGTGTATTATTCTGCCTTCAAAATAAGAAAATACAAAAACTGCAGTGTTACACATTTAATGGTTTAAGCCAACTGTGCTAACTCTTACTTCCTCTACTCTGACACTGTGCTGGTTTTGTCTTGGTGCTTTTTGCAAACAGCACACATTATGACTCGTTTGCAAACCGAACATTCAATAATCATAACAGCCTGAATCCACGGGCTGCAACGGTGACTCATCGGTGGATGAACTGTGGTAATTGTTGGGTCAAGCTTTTTGGCATCAGCGCTAATACATGCAACCAATTCTACACTGAACAACACATCACCACAATTCACCATCAGCCTTTTATGGCTGAGGGATAACAAGAGTTGGATGCACAAGTTTGAATTTAGTTTGGATTTTCCCTATTCAACCCAGGTTCAAAAAATATACATGCAGGCTAAAATATGCTTACTTAAGCCTTCTAATAAGTGGTGCTTAAGGTTCTACTATGTCTTAACTTGACAAGGCCAAGGCCTAATTACTTCTCCTTAGTGATCATGATTGACTACAGAAAAATCATTTATTTGACAGAACTCAATGGACTGACCAATACTGAGAACAACGGGAAAGTCCAAGGAACCTTGGTGAAGACCTAAGAAGGACATAAGTAGACTTAGACAAGTTGAGAAGGTTTTAATTCTTAATCAGAGAGCAAATTCTGTACAAGTGTACAAATTAAGAAACAAAACAGTAAGCCGAGGTAATAGAATGACATCGTTTTGACTTGGAGAAATGTTGTCTCAGTTCATATGCCGTTGTATTTTTTTTAACAGAACACAGCTAAGAGGATGCAAAGCTGCCATTAATATCATAATGCAGCAGGTACAATGTTCAGTTTAAGCATGGCTCATAAAGATGTGGACGCGCTGTCATTACAGTGATGCCCACACGATAAAGCCGAGAGCAATCCAAACGTCTGCATAAATTTCTACAGATTTAATAGTGTAATAAATCTTTGAGTGTGTTGAGTACCTGGCTGGTTGTTCTTATAGTCACTGAGATGTGACAGATTGTCAGGACTCTCCATTGACAATTTGTTGTTGAGGTAAAGAAAAAACAGAGCCATCAATGCCATGAAAGCTGCAATGGAAGACAGGACACCCAGGAGCTCGGGAGAGACTGAGGAGAAGAAGAAGAAGAGGAGGAGCCATGAGGAACAAGCAAAGCAAGAACTGACAGAAAAAAAGAAATCCAAATGTTAGACTTAAACAGAAGTAATACCAAACCAAGGTATTTGATTAAGTAAGAAAAAAGAGCCCCATGTTTTTCTAATAAAAATACACAAGGTGGTTACAAGCTAAAAAAAAAAAAAAAAGTCTTTTGATCAGGACTCCTGAAAAGCCGCAAACAACCCCAGTCAAATAATTTGTTTTGTGATAATATCTTAAAGTTGCAATAAAACTCCTGCCATTTTGGCTTGTCAGAGGAGAGTTATATATTTTTCATTTTAACAGATCCACTTCAAAGGCACACGAGATAAAATCTACAGCACTGTATGTAGGCCAACCATACTTCATGTAACCATGCAGCCCTGTGCTATTTTTATAAGAGCCTCAAAGGGACTGTATCTAACTGAAACCTAGACTCAGCAAACCCAGGGAAAAAAACAGACCGGGCCTTGGTTTAATAGGCTACAACACAGACACAGCACAGTGTAATAGCCAGGAAACGGGGAAGAGAAGGTGGACAGTGAAGCATGAACTGCATTTCTAAAGATCACTTGAAAGGGCAGATTGCTAAATAAGCGACACTGAAACTGAGCGAGTTATAGGCACATATTACTGCCTTAACAAAATTTAATCCCAATAAAAAAACTACGGGCATATTCATGAATTAATCCCTCTGCATTTCCATTTTTAAGGATTAGGTTGTTTTATACCCCTAATCCAAATTGTCCAATCACGGCTCATCGATTGTAACTAAGCAAAATACCAGAGCAATAGTATAAAAGAGTTTCGAGGGTTATGTTGAGTTGTTGTGTTATAATGTAACATAGCAGAATTAGATCGTACGTATCTCACAGCAGCAAACAACCAACTTTACACTGCAGTTACTCATTTAAATACTGTCTAAAAACGGCCACAGGCAGCTTTAAGATGCTGCTTCACGTCCCTTTAAGGTGAAATCTTACACTGCTTACTGAAACCTCATTCACAATATTGCCGTGTTGTTCCATTTTCATTTGTGACACATTATATTTGGTGGTATGAGTTTGGTGAAATTGAAGATGACTGTTTGTTTCAACATTAAAACAAAACAAAGACATAAACCTGAGGTATATTTGGGACAACTTGACGGAGCTTGACAGTTGTTACACGTCTGCATTGCAGCAGGTGGTCACATCCTGAGGACCAATCACCCGTCATTGATCAAATTGGTGTAAAAATCTGGTCTCAGATGAGAAAACGAGAGAGGAAAAACAGAGGTATACTTTTGCAAACCTTGTTACTGAACTTATTATGGACCGACTTGTCTCACCATGGCAACAGGCAGAGATGACTATAGCCTGACAACTAGCTGCTGCCTGCTGCAGACTGCCAAAATGGTGAATGCTAAATTCCCAAGAACGGCAAAAGAAGTAGGAGGGAGATAAGAGAGCAATGTGACAACAGAGGCTTACCTCCTCTAAATGAATATCCTCTTTAAAGCCAGCTGTTCCCAAAAAGCACTGCTTCTTAAAGCACTGATAGTAAATGATCTAAGAAGAGGGAGGGAAATAACAAAGTTGTCCAGCTCAAAAGTAATCCTACATGTAACAAATCCCTGACACTTAGTCTGGTCCAGCACTCGCCAGGCTTACGTATCAACTCTCACTCCCGACAGCAGTGTTGATTGAGGCAGAATGACCTCTGAGGCTACGAGAGCAGCAGCCATCTGTCGAAAACGAACAGCTTATGGTCCTGAGCTGCGGCAAGCGATGACACTTCATACATGGCCATATTCTGTAAATGTCAACAGCAGCTGAATAATTCAGACACCTGGGGTAGGTAACCTGAGCCCAGCCCCAAACGATATACACTGGAAAGTGGAGCGGAGCAGCAAAGAGGCCTTTGAAACAGTTCGCCCTCCTGTTTTTACATAATACCTAGGAAAGTGTGATATCTCTCTTAAGAGCAGAGCAGATTAAGGTGGATTTTTTAAAAACTCCGCTCTTTCATCTCATTTTATCCTCCCTGAGTGTGTGTGCATGTGCAATCTGTGTGTGCAAACTGAATAAACAAGATAAAAATAACAGAATAAATCTGTTTCTCACAGCATGTGAACTCAGGCTGAACTCCGGATTCTGAAATGAGCCTCAGGATTCAATCTACCTTTTTTCCCCAGGTAATGACTCCAGCAAGCTAACAAACAAACATGAAAGCACAGCCACTGAAGCATTCATTGAGAAAATAAATAATAGCCTGAGAGAAATGTGAGCTAGTTTGAATGAAGTGTCTGTGTCAAATAAAACAAGGGAAGCAAATTACTCTTTCATGTTCCTAATCTGCTAAGACACAGAATGACTAAAATTTCGACATTGCGAGTGCTTGATTAATTTACTTTGTTTAAAGCTTTAAAACTCAGTGGCGTTTCTGGGACATGCTCGTTATGCAATCTGGAATTGTTGCTTACACATGGACCTCTGGTACGAAACAAAACCTCCACTCTGAATAAATCATGAACACACAGCTGCCTTCTTTTGCTGAAGTGAACCTAAACTTGATACGCTGTGCATAATTCACACATGAACCGTGTGCTTACTGAGAAAGCTATAGAAAAGCATTCTATACATCATATTTCAGTAAAAATTCACAAGCAAAAGAGAGTGCCTGGGGGTGGGGGATGAGCCAGTCTTCTCCAGTCATGCAACAGAAAGGCTTAAAAATGCACGCACCAAGGCCTGCTTAAGAAATGGCATTATATCAAAATTTTATAATCTGCTTACATCAGAAAACTCACAAAATAAAGCTGAAACAAAGATCTGGAAACTTAAATCTTAGCAGAGGATTGAAAATCAGCTTGTGCTGTAATGCATAACAGATGGTGAATACACGTGTCAGATTAACTCGTAACTGGTTAATGCGCACATATGTAGCACCTGCCAAGTGGTAAATTGGTAAGATAAAAAATATATGCACTAAATTCACAGCCGCTAAAGGAATACTTATATTCCCTGTATTTGTTTTAATTGCTGTTATGTTTGCTCTTTTCGTTCATTTCTTCTTGATCTTTTTGCCAGGAGGGATAAAGAGTTCACACATCTACATGTCAAATGATTATTTTATACCTGATGAGGGTAAAGCTTTTACATCTTGAAACAGGACTGGGTAATTCATTTTTCCCCCAAGGGTCCATATTAGAAATTGGGGTTGCTGTAGATGGCCTCTACCTATAGCTCAACTCACTTTTGCTCATTTTATAAGCTTATTGGTCCGTCCCTCCACAACAGTCCTAATTTCTCATGTGGCCCCTTGGTAAATATTAATTACTAATCCCTCGTCTACTGTGAAAACAACAATAAAGCTAACAAAAACAAAACATTGTCATAGCTTCCATGTTGGAAAAATGAAGCCAATGCATAAGTGCCTTAAAGCTGGATCGTGGTATTGCCTACTCATTCAATGACTAACAACTTGCCAATCACAAATCATTAGCAAGTTAGCAAGTGGTTCCCAGTCAGACCCATCTTTTCAAATCACATCCGTTTTCTGCAACCAAGATGGTGACAGTGAAAAGGAACTTCAAAAACCAATGAAATTTTCACAGCAGCCACTAGGGCTGTTCGATATAACGATATATACCGGATGACGATATAAAAACGTCTATCGTTTAATTTTACGCTATCGTTTGTTTCATGGTGTCGCAAAAAAAAAAGTTTACGGCAATATTTTTTCATCGTGTTGATGGTCACTGTAGTGGCTATATTAATTTCTTATATTTAATATAACCACACTACGGACGGAAAAGCGCATGTATTTATACGTTGACGTTAGCAACAACGACGGTAAAACCATCGCGTCACGTGTCCGCTTGTTTATGTTCCACATAAACCTTTCACAATAAAGCTCAAGATTCTGTTGAGACTTTTCAAAATAAACTGAATCGCGTGAAAGGGTATGCAGAGTATTTATGGATGAGAAGCAAAAAAAAGAGCCGCCAGGTGCTAACAAATAAATCTTAGACTCAAACGTTAGAACAGGCTTTTCCCCGCAGCACGCTGTGTAATAAATACTCGCAAAGAAAACGGCGGCCGTTACAACTTATGTCTAAAAATGTATCGTTTCATGCATCGGTACCGTTGACTCCAGGTACATGACGCCCAGCTGGAAACACTCCACGCAAGTCGAGCTGCCCGAGATTCACAGAATTTACAAAAAAAATGTAAATTTTTTGTGATTTATATCGATAGATGTCTTATATGAGATTTTGGTCATATCGCACAGCCCTAACAGCCACAGCCATCTTTAATACTGTCTATGGTTACAACATGAAAACGGAGCATCACAAAATCTTAGAGACAATCCTACTGCGTGCCAACCGCTTGCCTCATTATCAGAATTTACTACAGAGATGAATTCTACAACTTCTTATTTCAGTTTCTGGATTTGCAGTTATTCATCAGGGCTGATGTCTGTGACATTCAGTATTCAGGAACTCTTTTTTTTTTTTGAAGGGAACCCTGTCGGGAGGGCTGATAGACAGGAACGGCTACACTCCTGTGTGGAAAGATCATCCCTGACCTGACCATTATTCACTGCATCATTCAGAAGTCCATAATCAGTCCAAGATGCTGTAGAACACTTTACCTAGCTGAGTCATTTTCAAATATTTCTTGATATTTAAACTCCAAAGCCTGCTGTTGATCTTAATGTTGATCTAAAACATGATGCCGCCCTTCCTGTCTGGAGATGCAGATGTGGGAAAGAGACCAACGCACCGCAGATGACACTACACAAGAAATCAGAATCATCAGTACATCATCCAAGCAGGATGTTTAAACAGGAATTTACTGCAATAGGATATTTATTATTTCTCTGAACTAACTGCATTTTGTGCTGTTGCATTTTCACATTATTACATATTAAATATTAAATGGCAAAGCTAATCAAAGTGGAAGAAGTGGAAGTGGGGTTTAATTATGTCATGTTAAACCCATTTGTATTCTTTAAGTTTTATTGTCTAAAAAAGGAAATCATAAGACTTTTAATATTATGAATATTAAATTAATTAAATATAAATACAATATTATTGTAAATACCCTGGTTAATTTCTTTTCTTGTTGTTTAACAAAATATACTCTTGAAAATGCACACACGCACGGTTTTAAATGTGTGGTTGCAATGTGGTCTTACCTCGTCTGGCACAGATGAGCTCATGAACACCACAGTTCCTCCCCCCTCCTGTGAGAAAGACGATGTAAAGCTGGGAGTCAGAGTTTTAAATATGACTTTATGCAATGTAGAAACATATGGTCTGTCCTCAGGTTAAATGAGACAGATGAACATGTCTGCAAACATAAAACCAATAGGCTTGAATGACCTTGTTTGCTTTTCGTGGTCTCTGTTTCTCTGTCTTTAATATATTGATGGGTATATTAGCCTATAGAGCAGTGTAGGCTATCATTAATCATCTCTATACCAGTAATAACCACGGGCCACTACAAAGGAACACTTTTAAAAATGCACTCTGCCACAGCTACTCTGAGGCTCAATGATGTCAAGAAGTCATGCATATTAAAGGCAGTAATTATAGCTCCATGCATTTTTTATAAGGCAACTAATAACTCATTACTGTGATGACTGGCATGGATTCTACAAAGTAATTTCCTGTTTTATTTTGTAATTCCACTTAGCTATGTTGCCTTGTCAGTTTTACTCTGTGTCTCTGTTTTCCGGACATTTCTTTTAATAACGCCTCTTTTTAATTAGCTGTCATTGTCGCTTGTTTATGCATCTCCTGTAAAGCTCTTGCCACTGGCCTTCAGTTCCCAGTCGAGCATTTTTTATTATTGCTTCTCCGTATCCTTTCCTGTAAGTTTTGAGCACAGGGTGGGTTTTGTATTCTAGTTTGATTTTTCTGGAGACATTTACCGCACTGTTTGCTTTGAACTGCCTTCCTGTGTAATCCCTTATTACTCGCCTAGTCACCAAAAAAAACAAAAAAATCAATTAAAAAGGTAGGGTTCATTGATAGGCGCATTTTAGCCTTATGCTAAACAAGAAAATAGAATATTTCATCTTTCAAATAAATGCTCTTACATCTATTTTAGCCTTGTAGTTCTGTGGTTGTAAGGCTTTCCTTTTCGGTATGTTAAATAGAGGAAAAAGTCCATGTACAGTGACAGATGTGAACCCAACCCTTCAACAAGTCACTAAAAGTTCCTCTGTCAAATTGCTATATTTGGGTCGGCTCCTACAACTATAAGCAACAGCGTAGAAATTAAAAAAATAAAATTACATGAACTATTTCCTCGACAGATGCAAAAGCCCAGGCATGAGTTGCTTTGCTGGAAAATTATCAACATGATTTTGTAACGCAATGCAATACGCTGCTCTGTTTGGGTTACGGAGAAATAAGTTTTAAGATTTAGTATTTTCACTGGAATACAATTTCATAATGTGTCAACTGGTTGTTTTACATAATCGCTATGAGGCTTAAGTTAACAGTGCTTCCTCTCCTTCACATCCCCAAGTTTTTACAGTGACACATAATCTCTCTTTGGCTGAACAGTTCAGTATTGAGGCTCCAGTATCACCATTAATTAAGGTGTCTCTACTTAAGAGTTTGGCAAGGTCACGTCTTGGCTCTGAATTTAGGTTTATTATTAGATTAAAAATAGCGGCAATGTGTTTTATACATTCTGAAATTTGTTGCTGAGTTGTCTCAAACCAAGAAACAAAATTTTAGTGCATTAAGAATCCCTTCATAACGTTAAAAAAGGTGTATTAGTTTCTTCACATCCAGGACTGCACAAGATAGTAGAAGTGGCATGAGGTCTTGACTTTAGTGCCAGAGCAAAGAGAAAACTGTGACTGAGGTAGCAGACAGACCTTGAGCGACTCAATTCATTCTATTAATTCATTAGCAGAAATTCTCTGTTGTCTATTCTCACCAAACTTTAGTAATTCTTAGTGTACAACAAGTACTTGCCTTAAAAGATCAAAAAGAGATGGATTTTTACAATAATAGAAGTAAATGTTGTCACTGTCTGTCTGTGTACAGTTGTGACTCATATTCTGCTTTCACTGAGCCAGACTTTAGGTTATATTTCTCCATATTTTCTGAAGGTCCTACAGAGACTTTCTATGGAAACTGCCTGTTTTTCCACTCATTTTTAGTCCAGTTCTCATATCTGACCATTTCCAGAGAATTGCTTTTTTTTGTTAAGCCACTTAACACCGACCTATTAGTTAATATAACAATGCCTCCACATCAGTGCTGATACAGAAGGAGAAGAAGTCAAAACAGTAGGCAAAGAAATTGTTTTTTTCCACAGCATTTCAAACTGTTTCAACAAGTCCTGTGTATAATCTGCAAATCTCTGAACTTCTGTTCGCCAGCCACTGCATAGTAGGTGTGGTGAAGCCCTTACATTTCAACACTGGACCTCTCCACACGCTCATCCAATGATGTTCTAACATCAAGGTTTAAGACCAGCTTCTGGACCAGTGATTCCCAAAATGTGCCCTGGGAAGGTACTGCAGGTGGGCCGTGGTAATAACAGAACTTCAGTTTGAAATTACTCACAAGTATGTACAGTTACAAATTTATATAAATGTATTTATTCATATGAAAAGTATTAAAACTGGTAATATTTATAGACAACAGCATTTTGAATAAAATTTTCAAGGAAACATATCACCCTCTCTTATATTTGAATGGAGTAACGGTTTAAGATTCGTTGAGCCCCACAGATTTGCTGGTTTTTAAGTGGGCCGCAGCACTCTTGACTTTAGGAATGGCTATTCTAGACCAGTGGCATTACTGGAAAGGTCCCCAGGATGGGAATTTGGGGCAAGTGCCACCCATTGCTACCCTTCTGTACACGCCCCTGCTCAGTGACGCCAAGCTGCTGCAAATTTCATTAAAAATTTGCAATAAAACATCTAATTTAAAAAAATTACACTAAAATTCTTCTGGAGCTGTCGATCTTTAATTAAACCACACCACCTCTCTCAAGTGTCACTGCGCAGGAACAAGCGCCCGTGAAACAATAAGACCCGTATCCGTGACAGCACGGGACAAGGCACGAGCCTACTTTTTGTCGCTGCCTGGTGATGTGTCCCGGTCACTCTCACTAAAGCCTGTAGGAGACACTTTTCCCTCAGCATGAAGGCTGTTAGATCCGCTGCACATGTTAGCTATGAAGGTATCTACAGCACGTGCAGCCATCAAATAAAGTTTGACAGCAGCGGAGTGTTCTTTAAATATTACAACCTTATTCTTCCGCCAAGTTATATAGTTCTTTAACGGAAGAAAAACAAAAAGTCATGTGACGCTAAGCAGCGACATGCTAAGACTTTGTGTTAAAATATTCAAATTAATCGCTACGTGCTCACAGGTGTCCCATAACTGACGCTTTTTCTGCCGTCTAAAAACATCCCTAGTTTAAAATCAAAGCACCGGGACTGCCTGCTTGTCTCGGCTTACTCGCGAATCACTTCACGTGCACATCCCGAGAAGATAATGAGACCTCAGCGGTCCTGCATCAGTGCGGGTGTCCGCACTTCAGCATCAGCCCCGCGCCCCCGGAGCACTGCGGTATACTCGCCGCGTGAGTTACAGAGAAACTGGACCAGAAATTACACACTCGGTGAATACCGC